GGATGATTCATTACAAATTAACTGTGTGACTCTGGTGGAAAACCCATTGCTTGAACTTCTAGTCGGGCCTCTTTAATTTATGGAGAACAGTAGTTCTTTTAATAATCTAGCTCTGTGTGCTAATTATGTAAAAATTATTTCCTAATTTGTTGTGTTTTCAGGAGCACTCTGGTCGCGTGTTCCGTCTGCAGTTTGATGAGTTTCAGATCATCAGCAGTTCTCACGACGACACCATTCTGATATGGGACTTCCTGAACGTCTCAACCAACGGCCAGTCAGAGGGACGGTCTCCTTCGCGTACCTACACGTATATTTCTAGATAGCAGGTACCTAGCGACACCTGGCACTGTAAAACCTTTCTATAAAAATCCAGCATTCTGTGTTTACCCTTGTGGTGCAGACCCACCTGTGTGACACTCTGGCTTTCTCTCCCAGGTGTCACCATCAACCGTACCCTTTCTTGGAGGAACCCAGGGCTGATTGGTTGATCGGTGCATCCGTCATGGAAAGGAGCCCATCTCTTCTCGTTCCTCCTTGTCATCTCTCTGTCCATCTCCCACTCAGACCCCACCACCTCCTCCTCTCTGCCAGTTCTGACAGACTCTAAGCTTGTGCCCATTGCCTGCCCAGTAAAGCGACATATATATATACACACACACACACAGGTCAACACTGTTGAGGATTCCCTACTACAAAACCAATGCAGCGCTCCCAAGAAGCTCACCTTCTACTACTAATTTATGTTTTGTAAAGTACACTAATGACAGTATTAACTTAGACCCTATATAAGTCACAAGCCCCCCCCCCCTTTTTTTTTTTTTTTTTTTTTTTTTGTCCCCTTGATACAAACTTAAAGCAGCTGCTTCTCCTCAGTTTTCAGTCCCAGCCAAAACTGGTTTCCACTGATATGGAATCGCTTATAGATATATATTTATAAATATATATTACATAGACACACGCGCGCACACACAGACACACATATGTACACGCACAGTGGCACAGTTGGACAGAGGATGACCGGAGCTGTGATGCGGGAGACAGAGACTCTTTACTCAGCTCTAGGAAAGAAGGGAAGGATGGGAGCTGGAGGGAGTGAAGGAGGGATGGAGGGAGAAGTGTTTGGGATTGCATCCCTTCCTCCCTTTCACTCTCTCTTATGTCTCCCTGTCTCTCTCTTTCTCTCCACCCACCCCACCCTTCCTACGCTCCCTCTCCCCAACCTCCAGAGATGCACACTCGTTTGGAATATGGGGGTGCGCGCACATACACACTCAAAGTTTGCAAGAGTGTGTGTGTGTATGTGGACTTGTGAAATGGCAGAACGGAGCAGAAGCGTCACAGACATGCATGTGAGGGTGCCTTGGATACAGCATCCTGGTACACCTCTGCTCTTTTTTTTTTTTTTTTTTTTTTTTTTCTTAAACTCTTTTTGTTTTTTTTATTACTGTTATTTTCTAATTTTATTTGAGTATTTTTGGTTCTTAGTACAAAGAAAAAATCATACTAAGCGTAGTCCTTTCTTCCCACCCTCTTGCTCTTTCTCTGTCTTCTTCCTCATTCTTTCTTCTAATCTTGACCTCTTGTCCATCTGTCCCTTTCACACCATCTTTCTCTCCTTACATCATCATCATCGTGCTTGCTTTGGTTATGAGAGAAGCTGGAATTCAAGAGCTCAAATTTAGCTGTAAACGGAGTTGTCTTGTCAAAAATTGTGTTGTATATTAAAAATGATTTTTTAAAGAAGAAAATGACCTTATTGTGAATAAAGTACTTGACAGTGGTGGAGTGTTGAGCCAACTGTAACACGGATGAGTGTCTAGTTGTCTATCTGTTCTCGTCTGTGTGGATGGTACGTGTGGTGTATGTGTGTGTTGCACTGCCTCTCCATCTGACTGAAAGTTCATTAGGCCTTTATCTGAAGTATATTGTAAGCAGGCTAGATGGGAAGGAAGTAGCTGTTGTTACCTACAAGAAAACCGTTGGACCGAAAATACCCTTACACACAATGACACTTAATGTATTCTATCAGATTGCTTGCAGACACATTGTTTGGAGTACACGCAAATCTGAAAGAATGCTGCATGTAAATGCCGTCTGTCAACATGGAACATAGCCCTTTGATAGGTACTTATCTTTTACCCTATTGCGTTTTCTAAATAGAAATGGTGTTTTTTGGGGTTTTTTTCCTATTATTTTAAAAAATTAAAAAGGATGGCACGCATTATAAGCGCACACCTCGTTCGGAACATGTACATTAGGTACTGCACAAAATTTGAGTACAAAAATGTTTAACATAAAATCCATGGGGAAATTATCAATTCTCCCTGCTAGTGATCATCAATTTCAGTCTCCGATTAATGAAGACGTTCAGAAAATGAGTGCCAGTGGCTGAGAGTTTGAATTTAACGGAAGCCAGTTTGCATCTTGGCCTCAATAGTCAACTATGAGAGAGAAAGATATAGATTTTTTTTTTTTTTTTTTTTTTAAAGAAAGGAATGCATGCTAGTGAGGTTGTATTCCCTGTTGCTACTGTTCAAGTATTGAATGCAGCCACCAGGTGGGGGTATAAACTCAGCTTTCTCCTACAGGCCGATCTGTTTATGAGTCTGTGCCTCTGTGACTGTTGGGTAGCAAGGTTTGGAGTCTAAACAACCTGTTACAGCAGATCACATGCCCACTGTTGTAAACACTAACTGTGAAGGAGGGATGTATACTTTAAAAAGCTTACAGTGGAGGACTTCTAGCAAAGCTCTGGGTAGTGTATTTGAGATCTATAATACATTTGTTATTGTGCAGTGTGTTTTCTCTAGGAGGAAGAGAAGGAGGGGAGGTGGCCTGCTGAGGGGGTTGGTTTTCTTCATTTCTGGGTTTAGTTCAGTATAGTAGAATGTTTCAAATTCTGGGAATAAGTTATGTGGGATGGATTTGTGCTTGGTGGAGCACCATTAATATATGATGTGTGTATGTGTTGGATATGGGTGTGTGTGCTTCCTCTGGGTCTGTGGGATTTTGGCCCATAATTCCTGCAGCTCTCAGGTCACAGCTCCGTTCTCACGCACATATTTGGCATTCCTTCCTCAACATGATTACCATACACCTTCCACTCCGGGTTTGGCTATGCGGAATATTTCCATCATTCCCGAGTGGAACTGGAGCAACGTTCCAAAAATGAACAGCTCGCCCCACCGCCACCACCCCCTACTCACTTGTCTTTATCCTATCCCTCCCACCTCACTGTCTCCTCCTTGTACAACCCCCCCTACAGATTCCTGCTGCTTTGCAACAGGAATCCTCTGGTACAACCCTCCCCCCCCCCCCCCCCCCCCCCCCCCCCCCCGAGTCAGCTGTTTGTGTCTGCAGACATGATTGGGTCATTTGGCAGTGACATCTTTTCACTGACCTCCTGCTAGGATAGGGAAGGAAGGGGAGGGATGGGGGATAAGATGAGCAAAGAAGCAACTATTAAACTGTATCTCACTACTGCTTGTTGTCTGATCCTCCATGATGGAAATTGACTGCAAAGCTTTACAGCGGGGAAGTGACTGCTGGTTTTTGCACAGCAACTAATGCTCAGTATTTTTTTAAGTATTTTCAAATGGTTCCTGTGTTAGGCTGGTAAATCTTAGAGATGTATTTTCCATGCATTTTAATGTCTGAGCTACAGTGACTAATTCAGCCCATACTGACTATGAAAACTTGAGAACCTGTTCTGCCGAGGTCCCCTGCACCTTGACTCTGTTAGACATCTGCTGGTAAAAGAACTTCTAGTTTGGACGATGTATTTTTGTTGCTGTATTTCAACTTCCATTTCAACTTCACAGTACCTCCCAAACCTGGCTGGTGAAAAAGAGGCAGGTTTTTGCCATTACTCAGCATTCCTGTGGTATTTGCTCAGAAACCGTTTCAAAACTTTTTAACAGTTTAACAAAAAAAATGAATAAAATAATGTGCTATCAACAAATTTTAATTTGCAGCCAGTATCTTGTTATAAATGCAAAAAGTAAGCCTCATACAAATGGGCAAAATTGGTTGTTGTAAGTTATAAGTTTATATCAAAATACTCGATACTGTTACTGTGATATTTATCTCCTGCATGCTTAAAATATTAAGTTAAATACTGCAAACCCTGCTTGTCTCAGATTTACAGCATTAGATCACGAATTCTCCCACAAACATAAAAAAGAGATTAAACCTGCGTTTACTAGTGGTTTACACATTTGCCTAATAAATTAAAGATAGCTGGTTTGATTCTGGTAGGACACACAAATCCCTTGAGGGTTGCAAAAAGCAGGGCATCTTACATAAAAAACAAGCATAAGGATTGACCTGATCATAGCTTATGGAACTCAAACCTAATGCCTTCGAAAGCTTTTCAATCAAAGGTGATGTCTTGAGATTTCGTTTTTTCAATCAGTCCGAAAACCCAACAGTGATGAATCTGTTATTTTGTGTGTGTGTGTGTGTGTGTGTGTGTGTGTGTGTGTGTGTGTGTGTGTGTGAATATTCATCTGTAAAGAACAGAGCTCTTACTCAAATTGTTAAATTGTCTCAGAGGTTGATTGGTGACCCACAGTTGAACCCAGATATCTGTAGATATGGCCTAGACTGTTACAGCGGTTAGCTAGGTACTGGTGTTACTTAACCAGTTTGCATAGTGAGTTTCTCTTCCTCTTGTAGAAAGGCTTCTAATGCCAAAGCGTAGAACAACAAAAAACAGCTTTATTCCAGCAGCTACCACTCAGAAGTCACAATTTTGCAATCCTACATGATGCTGCATAAGTTCTATTATAATTTGTCTTTCTCAGTGTGTTGTATTTAGCTTATCTTTTGTCTGCTTGTTCAGAATATCTGTATGTGAGGACCCTTAATGCAGACCAAATCTACGTAGAGGTGAGCCTGAACCTGAAAAAACAAGTTCTATCGACCCATTGTATTACAGTAGCTAGAACTTACAAAACTTTTAATATTTGGCCAAATAAATTACTTAGATATTTAATTTTTAAATTAAAACAAAAAGGCTGCCAAGTGATAGGTTTTCGAACAACGTATTAATCACTAGAAGGTCAGATGAGGTGTGTCTGTGAAAGTGGCCCTTTAAACAGAACGGGGCAGGTGAAGAAGAAGTTGAATGAGGACGGGAGACAAAGAAAATGTTTCTGTAAGGTTTACTGAGTCGAGAAAGACTGCTGCACACAGAGCTGAAATAAATAAATGAAATAATTTTATCATAATAATTATAGTAACCATCATAGTAAGATTGCTTATTTAGGGTTTCTGTCTTCTTTTATATATATAATATATATATAGAACTTTCAATAAATTGTTCCCTTTAATATTTTTTTCTCCTGTGTTTATGCATGAGACTTTGGTTTGTTCCACTGAATGTCCTGGTAGCAGCACTCTGTATCCACGGTATCGCACAGGAGCATCATCCCCTGGGTCGTTTCCATAGCGATGCTAAAAGAAAAGGCACCCTCCCCGGCGGGCTCGGCCCCGGCACTCATCATCCTCTGTGCCTAAAGGCTGAGGATGTCATGTCCTGTTGGGGGGGAGGATTCATGAAGAAGGTTGTCTTCCAGTTGTCTTTGGTCAGGTTGTTAGTTTGGTTTTGCTGTGATTTTGCTGGCTGTTTTTGGTGCAGCTTGTTTGTTTTTTTTGTGTGTGTATTTTTATTCTTATACATTCCAGTTCCTAAAGCTTCAGTCCCTGCGGTGAGTTGTCACAGGTTCATGCAGGGACTACATGGTCCCTTTCCAGAGTCCCCCGTGATCCAGCTTCACTCATGGTTGTTGCACTCGCTCACTCTGACACACACACTCTAACATACATTTTCTCATTGACTTCTTGCAAACATGCAATTATTCAGTAAGCCACTCATTCGAACATTCCCTCATTCACCCTGCCATTCATCCAATAGCCTCACAGGATGGCACTAATTTAGCAGTGAGACAAATAAGTGCGACACATGTCAACAGTCCATTACTGGTCCATTTGATCTGAGCAGATCACTATATCCCTTTTGTCCATTCCACCATTTTCATGTCTTCTCCATCGTTCTTTCCCTTTATCTGCAGGCTAAGCACCCACTCTCTTGTTCAGTCAGTCTTTCTCACCCTTGTCTGTTTTGCATGGTCCAGTTGTAATCCCATACTTGACATTGTCCAGCTGGTACAGAACAGGAGACACAAAGGCCTTGTGGTTTTTGTGGTTGTGAACTAAAGGCCTTTGTAGACCCCAGGGACTCTGGCTGCCCTTCAGGTTCACTGTCAGTGTATCTAGAAAATGAAGGGAAGCACACCAGGTCCAAAGAGCTTCCAGCATTGGACCAATTATTGGTCTCGTTGGTCCAGTAAGGGGAACTTAAACTGAGAGGAATGATTATTAACTAGAGAGGCTGTAGTGGCAAATCAGGTGTAGAGCTAAACCCCATGAATGATTCATTAATATTCTGGTCAATGTTTTTCCCAACAAAGGGAAGTGTTCAGTCATGTGTGACAGAAGGAATGAAAGGGTTAGCTATTGGCAGGCTCAGGTCAAGGCTTTGGATGACAAGACAGTGGGTGCTAGAGTTAGCCACAACTAGCGGGGCCCAGTAGCGCGCACCCTCTTGCCCCGCTTGCTGACGGTGGTGAAGCGAAATGGAGTGGTGAGGTCAGGCTGCTCTCCCGGTGGGAAGCGTTTCATGAAGTGTACATCCTGCTGGTTGGGAAGCGTCTGCGGACCACGGCGAGGACGCCCTTTTTTAGTAAAGCCAACATACCAGCCCGTGTAGCGCGCTGACATTAGAGCTGTGTAGTGGTTTTCTAGGACCTTTTCCACAAAGACACAGTCTGCACTTCGATTACTGGCCTTCTGAGAGAGCAGAAAAACCACAGGTATACACACACACACACACACACACACACACACACACAGAGGGAGAGAGAGAGAAAAAAAAGGCTGGTCAGAAAGAAGTAAGAAGATATTCTGGATTAACATGTGTCTAAAAGAAGAAGTCTCACCTTTCCTACCAGCTTCCCACGGCGGTTCATGCACAGGTAGAAATTGGTTTCTTTGCCACGGATTCTCACCTGGCTACCAAAGGTATCAGCCTCCACTACGAGCTGGGCTTGTGAAGGGACATACAAAGGGACATACAGACATTAGAGCCATAGGTAGTGTGGACACATTATGTACTTGTATATAGTCAAGATTTAAAGACTTTCACCCCACAAATAACAAGACAGAAAGTTAACGGCGTCCTAAATTTAGGGCTTGTTTAGTTTTGCATATCGGCCTAGCCAAGAACAACATTCAAACTGACACTGACAGACCTTTTCTTGAGCACCGTAGATTACTGACTGCTGTTAAATCTAAACCAGCCCTTTAAAGCAGATAAGGCATTCATACTGAATCACAGTTGTAGGATTCATAGTTGCTATTAAACACACTGATAAATCACAGACAGATGTAAATGTCTCTGGTTGGACAGATGGTTGTCAGATAAGCCTGGTCACACACATGGATGTGAGGCCGCTGACCAGAAATGGGCCTTGTAAAAAAGATAAGAGCCAAGACTAGATGGAGCACCGTGAGCAGAGAGGAGCGGGAAAACACTCAGACTGAATGTCTGTGATATTGTTGTTTTAAGATGTGTGCATGTACGCTTCTGCCTCTGAGTGTGTGCAGGTGCATGTGTGTTTATCCTTCATCCTTCCAGGCAACAGCGCTTCACTAACTACACATCTTTACAGAGCGTTTGTGCCTATTTAAAAATAAAATCCCTAAAATGGTTCCTACATGACCTTAGTCAACAAAGGGGTCAAGAGAAATCAATACCTCCCTCCCTCTTGCCCCCTTCGCCTCTCTTCCCCCAACTCTCTTCTCATCTCCCTTCTGTTCTTTCACTTAATGTTTTAGACTTTCGTGCACTTGCTTTATATCTTCGCTCTCTGCACTTGGTTCCCATGTCTAATGCCTTGTTGCCACAGTTGGTCGGATTTAGGTGGATTTGCTGTCTTTCAGGTAGTATTTGTCCAAAAAAGAAATCCTCCCTATCTCTTGCATCTGGAGTCTAGTTCCTAGCTTGACGTGGTGTGTTTGTGACCTGGCACCCTTATCAATGCAAAGGATGTGCTGCTGAGCCACATGCAGAAATGTGAACTCCACTTTTATGGCTTGGCTTTCTTCTTCCCATTGATTCAGGGGGGTTAAGAATGGGTTAGCCATCATTACAGACAGAGGAGGAAGTGGGGGATGGACAGGGACAGTGTTAGAGGATGGATGGGAGAAGGGGGGTGGGTGGGGGGGTTCCTGCTGTTTTAAATCCAGAGGAGATAACAGTGAGGATGCAAAATCAATGGAGGGATCGATGAAGGAGATGAGTTTCTAACACTCAGCCAGTCACTCTACCTGGCAGGCTTCTCCATCTAACTCACACTTTATTTCACACACCAACTTCTCTCTCTCTCTTTCATTCTCTCTCTCTTTCATTCTCTCTCTCTCTAACTTTCTTTTCCTCTCTAGTGAATCATTGAGTCAGCAGCCAGTCGATGAGGTCTTTGTACTCCCAAGACAAGCTCCACTGCCCCTCTGCCAAAGCCTGGGGAGATGTGTGTGTGCTTTTGTGAGTGTGGCTGCACAGTTGCATTCTGTCTCCATTCATGCATGCACTTGGTCAACCTTTAAGTCTTTGTACTTGCAGCTGTTAGATAGTGTGAGTGTGCACTTTGGTGCGAGTAAGCATCTTTCTCAGCGTGCATACACACATAACATTTAAACTTGTCCACTTTGCACCGTACCCACATGTTTGTGTGTGTGTATTACCATATTTGTCTCCATCTTCACCCCGGGCACTGATTTTGCGTCCCAGCACCTGGACGTGCTTGCCGCTGGTTCGGCTGTAGAGCTGGTATACTCTGTGGTGTCGCCGACTCATAGTGTCTCGCACCTGTGTCTGGTTCTCCACATGCACACTGAAGTTGACTCCATCCATACCAAGTACCTGCTGGAACACCCACACCCACCCATGAGTAAAGATCAATATACAACTTCATGCCGCACAATCACTCTTTGTCATGCCTGCTGTTTCTCACCTGTAATGGATTGCACATCACCAGCAACATCTGGATACATCTGAAATAATATAAAACAGATGAGCTTAGAAGAATGTAAGCAACACTGAATGCTGGAAGAGTTAAGCATGACACCATCATTTCCATCTCTTTCTTCTCTGCCGTTCTTTCTGTTCAACATCTCATTTCCTTATTGGGTCATTACTCACAGTTCTGGGTGTGCTGCTGGCACAGCAACTTGACATAAAGACAGGCAGATGTCCAAGGATCAGCAGACAGACAACACCCAGAGCAGTGTTTATTGTAACGCTACCAGCCTTCTGCCCGAACCCAATTTCTGACCCGTCTATGACTTTTGCTACACCAAAATCTGGCCTGCAAATGACCTGATTGGAGCATAGCAAAAAATGGCAAACATGCCAAGACAGCTAGAACATGTTTTGGTTCGGACATCTAAGGGAGCGGGCTGGCATATTTGGCTGCTCTGCATATGTAGACAGCTGAGTTGGACTACAGGTGTACATTCTACTGTGATGTGGCTTTTAAGAGCTGTGGACTGTGGTTAAATTTAGAAATGAATAGACGAGAGCAAGAGCTACTGAAACACGTGGAAAGATAATTTATGAAGGAATTGACTGGTGGTGATGCAGCAGGCAGAAATAATAAATACCGCACACGTAAAAGTATACTTTTGCGTGTTATTTCTTATTTGTTATCGCTCTCTAGCTAAACATTTAAATAATGTTTAGATTTAAACACTTAGTTACAGTTACAATTATAATTTTTCTCACTTCATCACATTGCTTAATTGAAGCCTGGACCTTGACCTTGGATATATTGAATGTTATTTACAGCCTCAGTAAGGGAGTGATTGTGTTGCGCAAAGCCTACTTTGGCAGTTCTTGAACTGTTCTAAATTAGTGGCTGAAGACTTGATGAAGTTCAGAACCCAGTGTGTGGGCTGAAAAGCAATTCTACGAATTTTGTCTTTCCCCACCTCATCTTATGCTATCTCTCTGTGTGCCTCTTCTCTCTTTCTGCTCCACTCTTTTCCTCTCCTCCCTATCTCTCTTCAAACTTCATGGTTTCTCTGCGAACTCTACCTATTCCTATCCATGCCTGCCTCCTATCTTCCTTTATGTTTAGAGTTAGCGAGGCGACTCCTCCACACTGTCATGGGCATGCACACAGATGTGCAGATGTGTGCATGTGTGTGTACAGGAGAAGCAGGCAGCTGACAGCTGGGCTAAAGCAAAAGGAATACAATCTGCTGAGAGAGGAAGAGAGCAAGGAGATGAGAGAAGTGTACAACGACAGAGGAAGGGAGGAAGGGAGGAAGGTGAACTGAGAAAAGAGAAAGAGAGACAAAGTCAAAGAAGGCTGACAGAGAATAAAAGAGGTGGGAGATAAAATCAGAAAGAACAGGCAAATGCGCAGATGTGAGGTGGAGGAGACACGCTGGAAAAGAAAAAACAACACAACACAAGGTTATGCATCTCAAAATTGAGAGACACGTTTAACCACAGTGTAGACTGATGTGAGAAGTAGAGAAAAAGATAAATAACAGGAAAGAGAAGAGGTGTTCGGTTCATGCCCATGGTAACACGCTACTGCCTCCTGTCACACACACATGTATAAACAAAACGTCATCACAACCCTTTTGTTTTCTTTCTCTTTTCCTTCTTTCTCAGCGTTGCCTTGCGTTGGCTTCTGAATCGTTCTAATAGATGCAGACATCCTGGGAAATGCAGTAGAGCATTGGCCCTCACATTTTGCCTGCGCAGGCGAAAAAACCTGAGCGCCTGTGCATTGTGAGGACTCTCAGCTGTTAAAACACCACGGCTGCACTGCTGCCGAGGACACTGTAGGAAAAGTGCCTCAGCACTGGATTCTCCCGCTCCCACAAAAACCACAGACACTCCATATTATGCCAGCCACAGAGAGAAAAAGAAGCAGAGAGGAAAGAGGGAGACAGGATCAGCCAGGAGTGGGGGAGGGATGAGAATAGGAGAGAGTAAAAGTTGGGGAGAGTAAAGACAGAAGGAGGTATGGAGAGAGGGAAAGCCCGGTACACCTTGGCCAGTGGCCAAAGCAAGCAATGATCTGACATCATAAATGTGCGTCCCAGCAGATCTACCATATGGAGTCTGTGGTTAGACGAGCAGGCCTCAGTATCGAGGACTGGGCACCGGTGTGGAGTGAGAGTGGTCGACCTGGTGGGACTTAGCACAGAGCAGCGGTTTCAGCTGTGTGTAGCAGTGGTTAACGTGGTAGGCCAACGCTGGAGCAGTGGGCTTCAGCACAGTGCAAAGAGTTTCAGATGTTCTGCGGCAGGCCTTAAGAATACTGGTTCAGCGAGTGGGTGTGTGAGTGGTATTGGCAGTAACAGGGCTTACAGCGCAACATTTGTGAGAAAACCAGAGGGCCTAGACATTGTTCTGTGGCTTTAGCAGAAGAGCAGTAACAGGTTGTTGTGGCTAAAGGCCCTTGGTTTTTCTCACTGGCTGAAGAATTATGATGAAGTTGGTTAAACAGTATGTAGATGAATAAATGGAGCTGTTGTAAAAATAATAGGTGAGGCAGAGATGAGTGGAGAGATGATTGGCTCAGGGAGACCTAAACTAAAACCAGCAGACTAAACAGTGAGTCTGCTCATCTTCAGACACTGCCAGGGGCATCATCATTCATCAGTTATTAATTCATACTTTTTTCTTTTTTCTTTTTTTTTTAACTGAGCAAGTATCTATGGAAAAAGCATTATAGGGAAGAAAGCAAGACAGATGTATGCAGTTAGATGGGTAGGTGGAGAGAGGGTGAGGGAGACACACAAAGAGAAGGAAAGTCAGGAAGACACCAGCAGCAGCAGGAGCACACACCCTGTCCAGGTTGTGTGAGGAATGAGAAGTATCTGGAGATGACTGCCATCTGGGAGAACACCGCCGACACAAAGAAAGAAAAATAAACCCCTGGCTTTTAACAAGACACACCTCCAATGGGCAAACTCGAGCCCCTTGAGCCCATATCCTCCTCCCTTAGATTTGCTCTTGGCACTTTATCATTTTCCTATCACACTAGATAAAGCTTGTGTTATTTGACTTCTGAAATATTTTCAATAGGAAAAAACATTTTCTTGGAGATGAGAAATGGTCTTTTCTAAGCCAGCCTGGCCATCCCTGAAGTAAATGCAGATGGTGATGGAGATGTTTATGGCAGGTTTTATGAGTTATACGGCCCTGACTCTGACCCAGTGACCCTGAACTGTCAGCCAATCAAAACAGGGCTCTATGGCATGTTTTCTATGGGGACTGATTAGGAGTGATGTAATCGCTAGATTCTGCAACCTTTCTCTCCATCGTCTTCTCGCCTACCCAGAAACTAGTTTAAACAACTGAAACACAATAGAACCTGAGGAGTGAAGCAATAATATTTGATGATAAAGTGATAGAAGTGACTTACAAGACGGTCAGCGTGGAAAGAAGGGACCACATTGCTTCCCCCCTCCACTATGGAACTTGTCCCAGAGACAGTCTCCTCGCTCGGTTTGAGCCAGTCCGACAGAGTGGCTCAGAGTCCCCCTCTGTGTTTTGAAACCGGTGGACGTTGTGCAGAGTCAAAGAGTGAGCGGACACTCCTGTTGGCATCGGCGGCGTTGTGCCCCGGTTGCCCCGGCGTAAGTAAATGTGCGGGCACGGGCAAGTTGGGGTCTGAAGCTGGGTGAACTGTGCCACTGTGACCGCCGGGCAACCTCTAACAGCTGTCCAGACCGGGGAAGGAACGGATGGGCGGAGGAGCAAAGAGTTAGAATTTTAAACGCTCGCTGCGCGTACCCGACAAGGAGAGGAACAGGTGAAAGCGCGCTCACGCCTTAAAGATAGCCAATTCCAGTCGACCCTGTTGACCCTCAGAGTGATGCTTGGCCGAGTGAACAGATGCGGCGCGTGCGTAATCTTTTGTGTAATCCAATGCGTAACGTTTAAGCGTAACAGCAGGCTCCCGGACACCAAAATGAGTTATGTGGTTGCTGGGATGAGACGGGTTGTTTGCCACGCCGCAGACGGGAGCAGGAGGCAGGTTTAGTCCCAGTAGAGCAGGGTCAGTTGCTGTTGGAGGTGGGGTACCTGGGCGTGCTGGTGGACGAAACTGCGACCTGGAGAAGGTTGCTCTGCGGGCCCAGGGTAATGCAAGGCGGGCACGGTCATGTCTGCGTCCCCACGCTGACTCAACTGGTCTGTGGCTCAGGTGACACCGACCAACAGCGTATGACAAAGTGGGTGATAAGGTCCCGGAGCGGTCCAGCTCAGAGGGGTATATGGAGAGTGCTGAATGAGAATCGGAGGGGGAAATAAAGGGGAAAGAAAGATGAGGAAGGGAGGGGTGGCTGGAGATGATGGGAACAGCTGTGACTGGGTGGCGGACTCAGCCACCCGCGACACGGCGAGGAAATGACAGCCGCACTTTGCACCTGATTTTCCGGACTTCCCCGCTTTCCTCAGCCGCTGGTTACCGCCTGGCTGCAGTAGTCCTCCCTGCGCCCTCTCGACACAATACCTGCCAAAACACAGCACGATGACATCACCTCCAAAATGTTTGAAGGGGGAAAATGCAATCCGATCTTTTTATTTATTTATTTTTTTCAAACGCAGAAAGTTTAAGCAGTTTCTCTGAAGGGGGGAAAACACCAAAGTCTCTTCGTTCCGAGAAAAAACAACTCCGCGGTGGAAGAGGAACGGAGTCGAGTTCACCAGTTTGAGAAGGACTAAAAGTTAACGCGAGCTAGCAGGAAACATGTTTACGCAAAATCTCACTGACAGATCGACTCCCAGTGCAAAACCTGCACACCTCCTCTTTCCCATATATCTGTTTCTGTTTCCCTGTTTCATTCAGGCACCAGAGGAGGAAACGAAGGAGGGAACGCAAAAAGAATCCAGCCGTGCGCTTTTATCCACTTCACTGGTATTATGTAGATTCTTCTCCCTTTCAAAAAATTCCAAGGTTTCTTTTCTTAAAAAAAAGAGAAGCTCTTCTTGAGGGGGGCTGCACAGGAGAGGCGCGTCGGCAGGCACAGACCTCACTCCAAGAAAAACCAGAACAAGATTTTAACAGACGCGGATCAATCCTCCCTCCCTCCCACCCCTCTCGCTCGCTCTCTCTGCCTCTCTCTCTCTTTCTTGCTCTCCTTCACACACACACACACACACACACACACACACACACACACACACACACACACACACACACACACACACACACACACACACACACACACTTACTTACTTATTGGATCAAAATGGGATTAGTTGGTCGCTCTGCCCTGCCGACCAAAACTTACACTACACAAATATCCATTTTAACAAGTGCTCCGTTCCATGTGAAAACATCTGGTAATGAGGTGAGATAATTTCAGTTGTTTACAATACAAACCGTTTTGTTTCAATGATTTTATCGAATCGGGCACTTTTCCTCTGTACTTTGTCTGTCCAGTTACAGCTAATATTTGTTTGTGGCAATTCTTGAATCAAGCTAAATCAAGCTTAACTCTGTAACTTCTGTTAACTCTGTAACTTCTGTCGGTGCTGTGCTTTTTTGGAAATCGAATTTCCCAGAGGAACCCACCCGAGGGATTAATAAAGTTCTATCTAATCTAAAATGCATTGGAAACAATTAGAATGATGTCATAGTACCGGGAGTAATTCGCTTTTCAAAAAAAAAAAAAGTCCCTTTCAGAACAAATGGGCTTGTGAAAGTATTTTTGGCCAAAGAGAATGTAAAATAAAAAAAGTGCATTTAAAAGAAATCTCACAACACAAACACCTGCCTTAGCCAGGTGAACAAATCTCTGATCACCAAAGCAGACTTCTTGCCCTCCGTCATCTCTCCAAAAGATAACATCACCTCCGTAGCCTCAGTGGCCCCGGATTTTGGATAAAGGTTGTAAGGTGGAGAGGGCAGAGCTCCATATCTCTCTCTCTGTCTCTCTGTCTCTCTCTATTATTCTCGCTCAAACACGCGCACGCGTTCACACACCCTTCAGAGTCGCCGCACTTTTAAGTGATGTATTTTGACTCTCAATTTCATAACTTTTAAGTTAAACCTTAAGAAGGAAAAATGAAACGGAGAATGAGAGACAGTCGGGAGGGCGGTATGTAAGCACGGACACGGATCCAAAACGAACATTTCTCAGGGATTTCGGCAGCAACGCCCGCTCTGCGCTCCCAAAACTCCCTCTCACCGCCGCACAACCGCAGACGGTCAGCCAAGCCAACACAACACTCCTGCCATACCTTTCACACACACACACACACACACACACACACACACACACACACACACACACACACACACACACACACACACACACACACACACACACACAGGGAAATAATAGAGAGACAGAGTAAATTTATCCTTGTGTGTGTCTGTATCTGTGTGTGTGTAACAGAGGTTGGTGGGTGTTGGCTTTATACATCAGGGACACTTATCTTGGCTCCAAGTGCAGGCTTATTCTTTTCAACATTGTAGGCTACTTTCAAATCACACACACATGCAGAGACTTCTGCAACTGGACAGAGTTGAGCTGGGCTGGGTAGGGGTTGACTGTGGTTGAATGCCTTTCCAGTCATGCTCCATAGACAAGCCTCTGGCCTTCTTTCCTACTACTGGCTCTCTCTGTCTTTGCACCTGTGTCTGGGCTCTTTTTCACCACTCACCACAATGCTGCAAGGGACACGAGTGTAAATGTTGTGAAGAGGGATTTGAACCACATTTTGGTGATGAGGTATGGGCCTGTCTGGTACTCTTAAGCCCAGATGGAAGGGTTCAGAGCAGGAACTATAGCACATCTTGAAGTAAGAAAAAACAGGCAGAGTAGCTCAGATCTATTCATTTACAGTATAAAAAAAGCCTAAGCGTAGTAGGCCTTTTGGCTTAACAGTAGAAGGAGATTTGTATTTTGTAGTAACAGATTTTTCCAAAGGCTCTCATTGTGAAATGAAATTTATGCTACACAAATGATCTATTGGAAACGAGCAATAATGTATCTTAGGTCATCAGTACTAACTGGGTGCAAAGAGAAAAACAAAAGACAACTAAAAGGCAGTAGAAGGAAAATCTGGGGTATGTTCCCCAGGTTTTTCAGGTTTGATACTTTTCACTGGGACGATTTCATGTTTTCCTTTCACGCCAGGGACCAAGGGAGATGGAGCTCTGTATGTCTGTATGTTCCCAAACTTTGGACCTGTCCCTCTCTTCTGACATCAGAAATGTTGACATAAAAGGACAATTTTAGTCATTACTCAAAATCAGCACTTTGGTGTCCCCCAGAACTTTGCATCGTCTTAATTTCACTTTTATTTACATTGTGTTTCACGCAATAGGCTTAAATCTATGTTGATATTGTTAGGAACTTCCTGTATGTTAGGCACTTTAAAAATATAAAAAAAATAAGGCCAGTCTTCACAATAAGCAGTTACATCCATGTATGTTACCTCTGCATGCTGCTGAAAAAAAAACCCAAACTACATTGACAACCTTTAAAATAACAAAGTTCAAGAAAACGTCACATGAAGCCAACCAGACCTTTTCTTTGCTCTTCTCTCCTTCTGTCACCTTTCTTTGCCCATTCATTTTCTGCCTGTCCTATCTGTCTTTAATCTCTCTGGCTGTTTTTTTTTTTTTATCTGCTCGCTCTGTCCCTCCCTCTGTTTGCAGCCAGCATATTGATTGCCCATGTCTTTGCCTCTGCAGCTCCTGCTTATTGATCCTTAACTAAGACACACAAACTTGTATGCACAAACATCCTCAGATACATGGATGTACCCTTCCCATTTCCCAATAGCCCCAAAACCATCTTACTTTGCAGCCCAGTTTTGTCACACACATTATTCATACATGTACATGTGCCTGCGCTCCCATGTGCATAAACAGAACCAAAGCAGCACTCACCAGGACACCAGATATTTTTTGCATATACCCTCTGTTGTGTTGAATAGACTTGGCATTGATGGACGTTATGCCTTTGTGCTCCTCTCATGACTCATTAAAGTGAATGAGACCCGTGTGTGTTTGTGTTGGTGTGAGTCTGGGGCCCTGTAGCTGCTGTAGGTCTGGGCCCAGCTCTCTCTTCGTATTTTTCTCTTTCTCTTTGACTGGGCCTGCAGGCTTCTTCCAGGGAGCCTGGTCAATATGGTCATTCTGTCAAGCAATTAACATCGATCAGCGCTCGTCAATACCGTCAGCACCCAGACAAAGACCCAGGGTGCATTGCGTGCGCTCGCCCTTTCTCTATCACAGTCCAACAAATCCCCAAACAGCACTCTCATTATATGAGGGCATTCTGCCCTGACCCCAAGGTCATCATGCAGGATTCAATGTTATGGGTGACTGGAGTACAACCTAATGCAGAGCTCAGAGGGTTCTGAGCCGCAGGCCAGTTGTTGACTCATTATTGCAGTTGTGCATACGTGTGTGGAGGTGTGGAGAGGGAGTCAAATAGTTTGGTTTAGATATAGGCAAAGACAAGTTGGCAGGCATGCAATATCGTCCCCCTGCTGTTTATTCCAAAGCGCTAGACATTTTGAAAACTTTGAACAGTATAAATGCAATCCATCATTCTGATGACATACTGTGCAGACTTGGAAATTTCAGATGTGTCAAGTGCAGTGGATTGTGTCCAATTAACTTTGTCTATAAGATATGGGCTGTATATGTTAGCATGTGAAGAGGGATCAGGTCTGTGTGTATGTGGGACCTCCAAAGGGAGAAGAAGACTTGTGGCTTTGATTAATACCTGCAGACATGGACCCTAAACTTCACATCAGATGTTGAGATGTCAGCCTAACATTGGTTTCTGGTATAGATATCCCTACTCTGTTAATCATGGGCCAAGTTTAAACTGTTCCCCAATGTGTAAATGTATGAGACACTTAATAAAGGCCCTTTGATGACAGGGGGCCCATGCAAAGTCAAGGAATGTGTACAGTGTGCCTGGCTTTGAAATGAGAACCTGTTCGCCACTTGTCTGCATCTGCAAGATGAGAGAATCGACAGCTGCAACTAAGCAAGAGCAGGAATTAATTAGTGGAGAGCAATAGCGAGCCATGGCTGAGATGAAGAGAAGAGCAAAATATTGTTTTTATTAGCAGCGATGTTGGTGGTGCACAGCCTGCTCCCTTCTCTTGCTTAGGAAGATTAATCCAGTGAATATGAACGTTTACTCTGCGCCATCTCGGAATCCATTGCAGCTGTTGTCTCTATACATAGCCCAGCTGAGGCACTGGAATAACTTTACTTTGACACTTTCAAGTTGGAGGGTTTGATGCTGCTTTGGACTCATGTCAGGGTAATTATTCACGCAATCTATCTTGTCAGTGTTAGGCCAAGTCCTAGTCCTACAGAGTGAATTGTGCTCAGGTAGTCGAGTTTCTCAGACAACACCTGTATTCTGGTCAGCAGTACAATTTTAATTATGTAAGTTATTTAGTGGTTTATTGTCATTATTCTGAGTGAGGTCTGACAAAGTACATAATAATACAAAACATCTGTACCTTGATTAACAAAGAGCATAACGCTGCCTCTACAGTATATCCAGAAACATATCAAATCCAGCAGCGGGACTGTCTCATCTTTGCCTCTGTGCCATCTGGCAAGACCACTTGTTGAAGTTTGGATATTTTGCACTGATGAAGTGGTATGTGAAAAAAAAGCATAAAAAACCAAACCAAAACAAAACAAATACATAAAGACATCAAACTTGGAAGGCACCATCTTTATGCACCTGGATCATATATCAATAACATAAGGAACTCATGACAGAAACTCATACCAGAGGCCAACTATTCAAAAACGTTCGACCATCCCAATAGAATTAAACTGGAGGCTGAAATGAATTTCATCAACAACAAGGAACAGCTGAACATTTAAACTGACATTGATGTCCAAAATAGCAATATATGCTACAAAACTACAAGATAAACTACTAAAAATCAAACAGCGAGATGTAGAGATGTACGACAGGAGTGGCATTGCACTCTGTGACACAGCTGAGGCTGTTTTGTGTG